CGGCGGACATCAATTCCTGAGGAATGCTCCATGCATTCGACTTCACAAAGCATCGTTTAGAGGTGACTGAATGCATATTTGGCGTTTACAATGTCTCGCGGTCGCCTATCGATGTATCGAGCCAGCGCTGCTATCCTACCAGATAAGTCTGCTACCAATTTGCCGACCCAGAAGGGATCGAGGGTTTGGTGGGCCATAGACGTGTGGATTGCTTCCACGTGTGTGTTGCAAGGCGCCTCCGACCACTGTGCCACACGCGGTCAGAAGCCTAGGTATTTGTGCTTTTCTATTACAACCTTTTTTCCTACCAACCGACTTTATGCGTTAACGTAGTTCCTCCCTATTCATCCATGTGTACAGGTTTTTTCGCCACTTATTTTTTGTGTGCACATCTGTCAACACTGCTGTATGGTTAATGTTGTATCGTATTACGCATCTTTGGTTAGCTAAATTTGAGGTCTGGGTGTTGCTGCCAGTCAAAAAGCCCCCTCAAAAACCTCGCCTGGCAATCGTCACTGAAATCAGCCTACGCTTTAGGTAACAAGACTTAATATTATGATGTTTGTTAAAGTAAAATACCCCCATGTTTCCAGCGTCAGTATGCAAGTGCAGCAAATACGCGAGTAATCTCAATGGGATTCAAATCGGACGAATAAACTTGTCCAAAGTAGGGCTTTTGTCAATTAATAAGTGAAGAATAGCAACTCCATAGGTCGAGGATTAACACAGCATCTGTGCTGAATAAAGTACTAATGAGGGCAAAAACTATAGCAAAAAATCTCTGTACCGAAATAAACGATGGAAAAAATGAGTCACATATAACTCCTGCCGATATCTTAAAGAAGTGAGGAAAATGATATCAGAGAATTTATGAAAGAAATGTGTTCAATGATGATCCAGTTCTTTGCTTCCTAGTCAGGCTTGCTACTGCTTGGGAAATTTCGGACGAACAGAGAGCTTCGTCGTTTCGTGAGGACCAATGAGCTGGCTGAGCGTTGTGGGACGTGTAACCCAGCGATGGTCATTCCTTAAAGGCCAATCCAATCTATACATCTTTATACTTCTGTTCAGCAAACACGAGGTGCTATTTTATTTCTTTATTTACGCGCAAGCTGACGTTTCGGCGGATTTCGCCTTCCTCAGAGCCTCGAAAGGTCAAGTTGACAGCAATCTACACGGCAAAACATCTCCATAACCAAACAGAGAAAACGCTAAACCAAGATTTCAATCACATCTAACATAGCTCTCCATATTCACATTCTATGAGCCTTCCACTGAGTATGTCGTGTGAAGACCGACCGCACAGAATTCACATGGAAGCGTAATGTGCCCCTCCCATCAGAATAACAGGTTTATATACTGTCCAATATCACGCGTTATACCGAGGCATTCCTCCCTGTGGTTCATTTCCGGATTCTTGGAATTAATCCAGAATGCCTCTAGAGTTTTGCGCGCTTGTGTTCTCGATTCTTGCGCGAGGATCGTAACCCTTACTTCAAAATCTTCTCCGTTATGTTTCTGCGTCCTATGCGTGCCTAGTGAAGTATTTGACTTACGTTTGCCGACTAGGTGTTCTTTTATACGTACGCAGACTGGTCTACCCGTTTTGCCAACGTATCCGTCCCCGCACGCTTTACAAGAGATCAGATAGTCTGTACCCGAACTCATGCAGTCACTGTCTTTACCATTGGCGCAAATTATGCAATTTTGCGTTGCACATAGACGGTCGTATAGGCGGTTATGAACTAGCTGGCGTCTTAGATTACACGGTGGTATTTCGATTATCATTACCGAATTCTCTAGACTGTCTCTTCTTGAACAGCGTTTTATAGCTGCACTTACTTCATTTGAAATGAAGGGCAGTATAAACGGGACCTTGTTGTCGCTAGAGTTATCGTTGGGATACCTGTGGTTTCCTCTACACCTATCTCGAGCTACGCTTTCGTAGCCATTAAAAATGGCTATTTGCTGCGCCAAGTTCAGGGGCTCCTCTCTCTGTTGTCTTCCTGTGCACACGCCGGTAGCTCTTCTATACATGTTTCGCACAAGCGCCCTTTTCGTGTGAGAGGGATGAGAGGAGAGGTAATGAACTAGGATGTTTTTACTACTTGGCTTTCGATACCACTTCGTAATGTGCCCGTTTTCCGATAGGCTAATTTGAACGTTCAGAAATGGAAGCCAGTCTTCTTTTGGTTTCTCTCGGGTGAATTTAATATACTCTGATAGTGTGTTCAACAACTCGAAACATCTATCGATTTCTTCTTGCGTTGAACAAATGACCAAGCAGTCATCTATATATCTACAGTGGAGTAACGGACCGAGGTCGATTACTGGCGCTTCCACCTTAGACATGAACGCAATGGCAAGGCTTGGTGCCAGTCGTTGTCCCATTGCCAGACCTCATTTGTACGTAATACCTCCCGGACCATCTGAACATTGAGCAGTTTAGGCACTCCTTTAAGAGTGTCATGAACTGCTGAATAGAAGCGGTTCGTGTTTATTGCTCCTTCGTGTTGTATAAGGAGTTCGAATATGGCTTGCATAGCGTAGTAATTCGACACGTTCGTATAGAGGGCAGTGACGTCGATGGACTCCACCACGTACGCGCTGTTGGGTGGTGCGTTACGTAGACGATCCAGGAACATTTGGGTGTTCGTTAGATGAGCTGGAATGGACTTCAACAACTGAGTAAGTATTAGGGTTGTTAACCACGTTATTCTATCCGTTGGCCCGTCCACGCGGCTAATGATAGGTCTAACCTTAAATAACGATGGATCGGTAGACACGAGATCATTGCTGGATACTAACTTATGGGTTTTGATAACTTAGTACAGGACGGGACATGTTGGTAAGTCAATTTTGAGATGAGAGATAACTGATGGTTTTAACCCAGTCGTTCTTGCCACTTTAACCCATTCGTTGTTTAACTTTCGGTATTGACTTTTAAATTCCTTCTCAGACGACGGACGATAAAGGGAAGTATATTTAAGGCGCTTTTCCGTTATATCAACATCTAGCTGATGGGGAATTACAACGAACTCTCCACCCTTATCACTAACGAAACATGTTTCTCGCAATCGCCCTTTTTGTGTGAGAGGGGTGAGAGGAGAGCAATTTCCTTGTGTGTTGAGCAAATGACAAAGCAGTCATCTATATATCGACAATAGAATAACGACCCTATATCGGTCACTGGTGTTTCTACCTTAGACATAAATGCGGTGGTAAAGGTCGATGCCAGTCGCTGTCCCATTGCAAACCCTCTCATTTGTGAGTTACGCTTTCCAGACCATCTGAAGATTGAGCGATTTAGGCACTTTTATGAGTGCCATCAACTGCCGAATCGACAAACCATACATGTTTGTTGCCCCTTCGTGTTCTATAAGGAGCTCGTGGATGGCTTGCATAGCGGAGTCATTCGACACGTTTGTATAAAGTGCGGTAACGTCGAAAGACTACATCACGTACGCGCTGTTGGGACGCGCAGTACGTAGACGATCCAGAAACATCTGGGTATTCGTGAGGTAGGCTGAAATGTGTTTAAACAACTGGGTAGATATTAGGGGTAGAAACCACGTTATCCTATCCGTTGGTCCGTCTACACAGCTAATGATAGGTCTAACCTTAAATAGTGACGCATCGATAGGCGTAAGATCATCGTTGGATACTATCTTATGAGTTTTAATAAGTAAGTATTAGACGGGAAATGTTGGTAAATCAACTTTTAGTTGAGAGATTACCGATGGTTTTAAACCAGCATCCCTTGCCATTTTGACCCATTCGTGCTTCAATATTCGGTATCTACTTTTGAACTCCTTCTCAGATGACGGGCGATAAAGTGAAGCACCTCCAAAATGCTTTTTCCTTATCTCAACGTCTAACTGATGGGGAATGACAACGAACTGTCCACCGTTATCACTAACCGATAGTCTTATGTTTTTCAGCCTTGTCAGCTCTCGTACCTCCCGCATACCACGTTTTTGTATTTCAGTGAGGTTGGAGCAGTATCTTTTAGCGCGATAGTGATTAAGGACTTTGAAAGTTTTATTCGTAAATATCCGAAATTTAACATCAACTTCACTAATGGGCACTTGTTGTCTAAAGAACGGTTGAGGAAATGGTGGTACTGGTATTGCCCCTACTTTTTGTTGTTCGCGCCTATTTTGCGCTTCATCCCTAGCTTTTTTGCGGAGTCTGTCTTGAAGTTCATGTGAACTATATGCGACTCTACGCAAGGTTACCTTAGAAATGGGTTCAGATGGTGAGAAACTAGGCCCCAATTCTAATAACGAGCGCGCACCGTCAGGAAGGGTTATGCCTCCTAGCACGCTCAACTTTGAATTTCTTTGCACATTATTTATCCTACTGTGAGTCGTTTGATCTTCGTTGGCGGTGTTTCTGTATGCTCTTGAAGCCGTGTTATGCGATTTACTCAAAAGGTCTTCGAATTTTCTCCGCAAGATTACTTTAGGATTAGACCTAATAGAGTTGCAAATCAACACTGACCCACCCACTATTCTCCTCCAGAGGCGGTTCTCCAAATACTGAGCACAATAGTTTTCTTTCTTCTCGCACTTCTTCCACTTAACGAACATCTGGTTTTGTTTGCTTCGTAGACAGGTGAGCAGTACTTGCAATCCGATGTCCAGTACTCGGTGGTCATCCCCTGGCAGTCCGCATACTTCATGTAGTCCTTTTCTTTTTATGAATTTTGGAACGACTTGGTGTTTTATGCAGCGGCGGAGAAAGTGTATCGCCTGTCGAGCTAAGACGATCTTTTGTCTTAGTGACAGTGCTTTTTTTGCAAGTCGGAAATATCTTACTGGTACATCTTCTAGTAACTCCCAAGGCCGACTTTCTATTAACCTCGGCATTGATTGAATATATCTTTCTACTTCTGTTCAGCAAACACGAGGTGCTATTTTATTTCTTTATTTACGCACAAGCTGTACAAATCTCCAGTTTATGCAATTTCTTGAAACACATAAACTTTAGCCGGAAACTCACCGATGACGAAAAAATACCATACGAAGTACTTTAATGAATTCCACCCGAAACTCGCCGTACAGAGCCAAGCAGACGAAAATTCCGAGCATTGAATTGATGCATGTCAGATAGATGGTCGGTTTAGCTATGAAAGCAGCTACCTGAAAATTGGACGTCGTCATTATGGGCGATTATGAAGCGGCATCTTATTTCTCATAGACTTTTTGCTAATCGGAAAAGAAATCATGTGGGTGGTCGGAAAAGTGCAAGATTAGTAAGTGGAAAAATGTAGGCGAAATAATTTAGTAAGAGGGCCAATTGGGAGAGACCTATTGTAGCCTGTTGAGTTTAATGTTGAAAACAAAATTTTACTCGACCGCTTTTTCGATTGTGGGTGATAACTCTAGTACATTGTATTGTTCACGTACAGTTCCAACGTACTGATCGATGAGAGCGATTCTGTATGGTATTGAGACCAGAATAATCGAGAACATAGAAAGGAATATTTGATATCAGGTCTTTGTCAGGTGTTTCTGGCCCGAACTGAAATTCTTGAGAAAAAACAAACAGGATATATTGACCTCCTGAAGTGTGAACCCATGAAATTTAACCACATAACCTGTGATTGTAATAAGGTAAATAGAGCAAATATAAATTACTTTACTGACTTTTAAGAATGTTTCCTAGAAAACATTGTTTACGCCACAATGTTAACTTTTTATTTACTGCTTATTATTTCCTTTCACGGCAAGGTATTATGTGAAATACAGCCACAGTGATGTCGAGATATTTACAAAAAACGGACACCAGGCTAAATCGAATCGCGGTTACCGTTCCATGGGCTCACGTGTAGTGCTTGGCTCCGCTGAGTCCTCGTTATGCTTTTTTCTTAGCCATTCTTTTTATCCTAACGATCAAGACTGATGACTCTTGCTCCCTTTCTACCGCTCAATGCAAGTTAGTGTAGAAAACGAACACACTTTATTCTGCGCTTGTGAAATGGAATGTACAGCTGGTGGCATACTGTGAAATTGTTTGTTTTCAAGATTTTCTTGGTTTTAGACAGTTTGTGCTCAGATATCCTCTTCGAGCTCATCGTCAGACTTGAAAGCAGAGCAAACTGTTGCAACCAGATTCCCCATATGTCGTCCATTCTCCATCTATACCAGTACCACTTACCTATCCTTCATCCAATACTTCGACTTAAAATACGAAGTTGTAGTTAGTATAAAGCTGAAGATATAACCGAAAATATCCATAAAATATATGAATGATGCGTAAAAGTCGCCAAAGGAAGCCTTCCTTCCGCACCAGAATTTCGCCTAAAAATAAAAGTGAACAGTCCTAAGTAAATCGAAATGAGTTCATAATTGCTTGCACACGAGCCTTTACTTCGTCCACTGGTTATTTCATTGTTTAAAGTGATCTGTCTATCCCAACGGTTTACCTCATCGTGGCTTGGAGGTGTTCCTGTGTGTCCGGCTGCGATGTATAGTAGGGGATTCGCCCTCGGTAAGGACACCCAAGTTGAGAAGGAGTCCAGCGTTTCCATTGCAAAGCCCAGCTAAGAGTAAACCAATATCGGGGTCTACCACCGTCCTGGTACGAAAGTATTATCATGGTGGCAAATCTCCCTCTAATTCACAAGGGATGCTCCTGCTTGCGATGGTGACAACCTGAGGCAGAATTTGGTCTGGCTGACCTCGGGACTCCATCGAGCAACTATGGCTAGACCAGTAAAACTCCGAAATAATGGAGATCATGCTGGAGCCAGCACAACCATTGAGAACAGGCCATCCAAGTAAGTAAAGCGATCTCTCCGTATCATGAGAACGAGAAGTGGCCCATGCAGGTGAAAAAAAGCAGGTGGAAGGCACTTGGCGAAAGCTGAGAAATTGTATACGAAAAATATGAAATACAATCTATTTCTACGATGATTTTTAGTACAGAATAGTGCAAAGCGCTTCACGCTTCACCACTGCACGATGAAACAGGTTTTTCACAGGTATCTAGCTTAAATTATGAACTAGGAATAGCTACCGAACAACAAAAAGCGTGATGAGTCGAAATGCTAAGGTGAACAACAAATTTCGCTTTGCCAACATCATAGTGAATGAGGCTTTTCTTCATCGAAACGTACCTTCTTTGTTCCACGAGTGAAAGCAATAACGTGACCAATCAATACTGTACCAAGTCACTGCTACAAAAGTGACAATGAAGAACGTACCACGTCTACAAGAAAAAAAGCAGTGACAGATTCTGGGAAAGAATTCTACGCTGTCGTAAATTCTAACACTTTCATTTTTTGCTGTTTAAGAACGTCTATACCGTTTCTTCGAAAACTGGTTGTTGTACCGAATGGGATAAAATACAGCAACCATGCGATCGACCGCCATCCACATTTGAACTGCCGGAGGCCATAAGTTTCTTGAAACACGGCCCGTTCACAATGAATTGTGAACCATTGTGCTGGTGGCATTCGCAGTGATCACTTCTAGCATTTCATTTGATTTGTCGCTAATCAGAGGGGAAAAAACAGCTGATGCTGAAGAAATCCCCTCTCATCGGTCTTTTTTTGCCTTAGTTTCAATGATGGAATTAGCCTGTTGCTGATGCTCACACGTTTAAAACTTTTGATTCGTCAAAGCTGACAGCTGAATTTAACGATGAGGAGAAATGTATTCGTCTCTTCACGTCATTTTCGCATTGTGAAACTTCTGGCAGTGATGTGCCCACAATACTATTTGATCTTATCTAAAGATTTTTTGTTGATGAGAAGTGAGATGTAAAGAGGCAGATTTATCCACCAGGATTTTACTATTTATAATTTTTTTTAAATTTATAATTAAGTGCGTGGATCGTAGTTATAAGAGACCATTTGTTCTATGCTCCATCCCAGGCCAACTAAATCTGGTTAGGTCAGCAAATCTGTACCATATTCATGATGGGGTATAAAAAAACACTAGAACGATGTGTCTGTAGGCAACTGCTAGGAGTAAGCTAGGTGTGACCTCATCCATCTCTGCGATGGTTAGTAGAGTCGTATAGATGACGCATTCCTTAAGCACTGATGAACATCGAACGCCTTTTGTTTATCCTTTTTGCATATTTTTGGGAATATAGTTTCAATATAATAAGGCGTTTACCGTATACTCTGAATACTACCCACGGCTCAGTGGCGCATTGCCAACACGTCCGCACTGGAATCGAAAGCGTGTCGATCACCTAAATCAAACTCTCTTACGAGCACGACTACGTATCGGAATTTTATATTGTAATTTCTGAACTTCTTGATACTACTGATTTTGCTTCTAAAGTATAAAAACAGCATGGACCACGAGAAGAAGAACAGCGCTAAAGTGCATGACAAATTTCCAGCAAAAATTTTAGATTTCTCACTCTGGTGTATAGAAGAGTTCGATTAATGCCCATAAGAGCGATTGAGAAGCAGTTCATGCCATCCGCAATGTATAGAACTATCAGCATCTATGATACGCTGGAAAGTGATACTGTACATTTGTTCTTGAGTTTCAGTCTATCCCTAGTCGACTAACTATACTACCTTCAACACCACATAAGAAGAAAAGTCACTTGGTGTATATTGAGCTCTATGCAAATCATCTGGAAGACTTTCCATCGGAATTCGTAGCAATACCTCAGTTTTCCTTCTTAACACTGGAGAGCCCAGTAGAACGGATAAAAGTAAGATGTTGACCATGAACGAGATGAGGCCTAGAATGATGTTCATCCCATTGAAGGCAACGAATTCATGCATTCCTTCCACAAAAGACGCGTTCACCACCTCCTGCATCGGAAAAGGAACTCTTGGTGAATCGAAATCGTTGATTCTGTTTTTAGATTTTCAGGAACTACAACCACTACGTCGACATACATAGTTAATTCAAATGATAAACCAGAAGAGATGAGAACATGGAAAGCAACAAAAGAAATTGTTGACGTTGTTGTTTTATTGCCACGTACAAAGTATAATATGGAAAAATGATAAAGAATTTTACGGATGAAGTCGCCGCTTTAAGAAATGTTCCTGATATGTGGAGGATCAACGCACTTTCACACAACATTTGTCATCTACAGCAAAGTTCAGCGCGAATCTACACACACATATCTACATTACATATACTTTCACAATTTTTAACTTATTATTTACTGCCTACTCTTTTTAACAGCAGGGTATAAATTGAGAAATATAACTTCAATGATGCTGAGATATTTGTAAAACTCCGGATAGCAGGTGTATGCGGTGGGAAATGAATGCGCTATTGTCCTTTCCGGGGAGTAGCGCGTTCACCACCACACCACGCCGGTCCTTCGTTTCGCGTGTGTTTCAGCTAGTTCTATCGATCTTTTTGCCATCAGCAATCACCCGTCAGCGGGATTGATCTGGGGAGCCCAAATCAGCAGCGGCTTTCATGGCTTCATTAATTTGTCAAATGGAGATAGGATATATGAGCGAATTCTCAGCGACACCGGGATTTATGAACGAAGACGATTAAAACACCAGCAAACTTTTGCACATAACAGGATTATGGCTGTTATACTGGATGTAGGTGTTTAACAGCGAAGCATCATTTAATCGAACGAGGAAGGGAAGGCATGGGAGCGGAAATATTTGAGCATGAAATTCGCAGGTTCCAGGCCTTAAAAATCTTATTGTTTAGGTGTTAATCGAGCTGTTTCACAACGGTGACTCCCAGTGGTGCCAATATCATGGTCCGCATATCCGCTGTGCTTGTAGCGAACATACGACCTACATTTGAAACGAACACTATTTCCAGTTCGTAAATATTTGTATTCATACATTTGTCTTATTGAGGGGTTTGCTGCTCAGTTAATCTTCCGTTATATTTAAACAAATTACTCGTTTTCTTCAGCATAAAATCCAACAATAATCAAGGGGAAAACATTTATGAAGACGCTATGGTCGCCCGTCATAACTGATGTGAATGAAATATTAGCACTACCACAGAAGTTATCGATGGCCTACATGTGACCGGAGACACTCTTCGGTATTTGGCGGAGTTTTACAATGATTGGGAATCTGAGCTAAATGCTAGTTAAAAGAGAGAATGGAAGCAGACAGTTATTATGTGACAAAAAGGTGGGTTGATAATGCAAGTTTAAAATGAAGTTAATATTATTCATATGTCAGGATTCATTCAATAATTCGAATCTTTCGGAATATTTATAAGGGTAAATAGAGTAAAGGGAGTTATTGCTACAAGTGGTAAGAATACGATGCGAATTCATAGTGGCATCAATTCTACTCGGATTTATCGCATAAAAAACTACAATCTGCCGTTCGTAGTCAGTAGAACACTACGATTTCCTATGTATCAATTGAAAACCTCGAAGAAATGCAATTTTTCCGACATCAATTGGATTTTTTATGGAAGCGTTTGAAAGCTGCCCGAAATACTAAGACAGCTCTGGTAGAACACTTCAAGATTTTCATCACACGGCTCCAACATTTGCAGATTTGAAGAAACGAGCTGATTCCATAAGTGTATGGTATCAATTTCCCAACCCCGGATGGATGGAAGGCTTGATGGGCCATTGGAGCCGGGATCGATCCCATGTGTGTGTTGCAGGATTCTTCCGGCCATTGCGCCACAAGCAGTGGCGAAACCATAAATCCGTAAACAAAAAAATTGTTGTCATGAGGCTCCGTCGCCCAGCAAGCAAATTGTTTCAAAGTGAAGAACCTGCCTGTGGACTTCACGGACTAGCAGCGATTCGTCTGTGTAGACAATTCCTTGCGAAAACAGGCCTCTAGAGTGTTTAAAAAATACAACATGAACCTACAGTTATATACATATATATATATATATATACGTATATGCAGCTATATGTATATATATATATATGCAGCTCTCGTCATTTTGGCTAAATTCTTCAGCTACTAATATAAAAGTTTATTTTCTAGCTACAAGGAATTTCAAATAGAGTCGAAGTGGAGAAATATGGAAATGGAAGGAAATGCTAGTGCTTACTGAAGAGAAGAGCTTGTGAGAAATTAGTTCATCCTTAATAAACAGTTTTGCATGAGATGATGTCACCCGTTAAATCGTCCTGGGTTCCGAAATTTTGCAAACTGTGCTGAGTTCTTTTTCTTGGAAAGGATAGGTTTGTTTTTTTTTCCTTTTTTAAACAACATCTTCATTTTGAATGTTAATTTTTTACATTTTTATTCAAACTTTGTCCACAATAGAAGCTCACTAATATCTCGGGAATTCCTGAAACAAATCTGATTCAGATAACTTCACCTAAGTTCAGAAATTCGGAATATCGTTGCAGGAATAACAACGCTCTAGTAAAGAAGACCACTGCATTTCATGAGTATTTTCGAGTTGAAGATGGAGCCAAGACAAGTATTGGCTCCATTCCTCTTTTAAAGCCTTTAAAGAAAAGGCGACCTAAATAATATCAGGCGCGTGAATAACAGTTGTTATAGGTGCCCCTGAATACATACAGCTTCTTTTGTCCGATAACGCACTCTTTACCAGTAAAACCATGATCAACGGCGACCACTTCGTCCTTTGCACTTTGTGCATACTATTGAGGTTTTCGTTTTCAAACTGCAAGAGGTTTACCGTATACTCTGAAGATCAACCACGGCTCAGTAGCGCATTACCAAGACGTCCGCACCGGTATCGAAAGCGTGTTAATCACCTAAATCAAACCCTCCTACGTACATGACTACATATAAGAACTTTGCATTATAATTTGCCATCTATTTAAGTTAGCAATGTTTCTCCACCACGAATCTCTGTCATGGAAAGGATCTCATGCCAGTTAGTAGAAGGCAACATGACGCATCACCAGATGGCGGATAAAGAGTTAGTAGCGGACCGAAAGCGACCATTGGTTCCCTGAGACGCAAGTGGTTCTAGGGAATGAACTCACTGTTTTGCTGCAACGACTTGGTAAATACTTTCTGTACTTTCTAGGGTATTTTCTATGCGTATTCATGCATGCGTTTGCGGGTGCGTTCTCGTTTATGCGGATTGTATCCTACGAATGAATTCGGCCAAAAGCCTGCCATCGAGCGGCAAGGAAGTATATGGGAGGCGGCTAGGATTCACCTCCAACAAATAAGCTCCATGTCAACTCTGGGAGAGACTGCCGAGCTACCCATGAGTATACCCAGCCCAAACCCTCAAAGCCCAGCAAGCTATACATGGGTATCAAAAAGCTAAAGACAATAAAATAAAGGGGCCTCATTCCCCTGAACCCGAAACAGTCCCCGATTCGGGAGTGTTGGATAAGGCGAATATAGGGAGGCTGCTAAAATCTCAGGGCCATTTTATGCCGCTTAAATCGCAAAGGACTAAGGGGCGAGCTGTACCTGGAGTGCACGCACACTTCATTCTGAGTCCTCGGTAGAATACTTGATCAAGCATCTCGTCAACATGAATTTGGATATGAAAATCGATTTATTCGAACAGCTAACAACCCGAATCGGACGTTTATGATTGGAGAGGTGTGGATCAATACGGGCTTTAACAACCTTCGTCGTTTACGCAACGACATCAAAATATGACGAAGAGGAAGTCAGAGTGTTTTACATGAACTTGGAATAGTTCTAAAGAGGAAACCGTACATTCTTCAAGGTCCTCACTGGAGACTTTAACGCTAAGACTGGACCTAGAAGAACGTCCGAAAAACGTCACATTAGGAATCACGGATAAGAATGGAACGATCAGGGTCAACGGCTGTCTGAGTTTATCACGACGACCAGACCATGGTAACTCGTAATTCCAGAAGCCCCACCCTCAACTCTGGACGTGAGAGTCTCCCAATGCAGAGTACCACAACGAAATAGACCACATCATAGTACACCGAGGGTTTCGTCTAGCGATTTCGCTGCTGCCCCAAAATTCTACATGCGATCATATCATCGCTTCGCTTGTGCAAGATTTCATTTCTCGCGGGATAGAAAGTCGCTAAGTTAAAAGAAAAACAAAATCCCCGATCTATCACAAACTGGGATTTAGTCAGTCTATTAATCATCTTTTGGGAGGATGCCATTGTCGATAACATCGCCGAGGAATACGATCGGCTCAATCAACATTTTCACGTTAGCGTTACGAAAGCTGAGAGCTCGAAAATCACAGAGACGCATCTGACTCCAGAAACATTCGAGCTGTTACGCGAGGGTGGAATTGTACGACAGGAGCCGCTAGCTCACGTTTGAACTTGCAAAACGATTGAAACGGGTGATAAAACAAGATCTTGAAGAGGTAAGAGCAAAAGTTGTGGTCGAGACATCACAGGATGGGAAAAGTATTCGCAAAGTGCAACGAAAACAGGCCAATTAAAAAACCAAGATGATTGCACTCCGACCCCCAAACGAAACAGTTACGGCGTCCAGAAAGGCAATGGAGAAAATCATTCACGATTTCTATTCAGATTTCTTCAATAGGCCTATTCTCCTTCTCTTATATGGAATAAAAGAGGATGCACATGTCGTACCACCGGTTCTCCCTTCCAAAATCCTACATGCTATTTCGTCGGTGAAAGAACGAACAATGCCATCTCCGAGCAAGATAAGATCTGAACACCTAAGGAACCATCCGCTAGTCTTTGTAAACACACTGGCTCGACCGTTCACACGCTTCAAAAATGATGACCTCCACGGTTTCGGCAAAACTATCGCCCAATTTGCTTAGTGTCTACTGTCTAGAAACCTTTCACTCGAATCATCACAAACAGGATTGACAGAACACTGCAAGAAAGACAGCAGGGTTTCGAAAAGAATCCAGTCCGATGGACCACATACATACTAGACTCATTTAAGAATCACGAGAATGGAAGAGACCGCTCTGTCTTACTCTCATCGATTAAAAGAAAGCTTTTGACTCAGTTGAGATAGAAGCAGTCATGGAAGCCCTTCACAGACAGAGTGTCCTAATCAGTATATAAAGATTTTTCATGAGCTATCTAAAATCTCACAAAAAAAAATATCGCCATTCTACAACGATAGCAACATCGACGTCAAAAGAGAGGTTAGGCAAGGCGATGCCATCTCGCCAGAATTATTTACCACCGCCCCCGAGAACGTCATGCGAACATTGGATTGGGACAACATGGGAGTGAAAGCCGATTATCTGTAATTACACTATCTTCGCTTTCCTGATGATATCCTTCCTATAACATGAAATGTTAGCCTAGGCGGAACAAAGGCTTGCCGACTTTGATAATGGAAAGATCGGTCTTCGACTAATCTCGCAAAAACGATTTTCATACGGAACAGATTGATTTCGTATGCTCCACTCACGCTCAACGGAATAAATGTCTTCTAATGTTCCAGCTACGTCTCTCTAGGTCGGGAAATCAACGTGATAAACGACATGGCTCCATAGTTCAGCAGAAGGAAATGAGCGGCTTGGGGAGTTTTTAAAGCATTGCTGAAGAGAACAAAGAATACCTCTCTCTGTGCCCACCTTTTCGACCCCACGATTCATCTTTCTTTAACATATGCGTTAGAAACGTGGTCGCTGCGTAAGCAGGATGAATGATCACTCAGTGTTATTGGCCGTGCAGTTGAAAGGACGATGCTAGGGTATCCCGTGTCACACAAGTGAGGAAAGAGATCCGAAGCTCCGACCTGCGTCAGCGATCAAAATTCAAAGATGCCGCTCTGTATGCAAAATTGTAGATTTGGTGGGCCGGATACGTAATGAGTATGCACGACAACCATTGTACAGGAGTCATTAGCGATTAGAGTCTTCGGAATATCGAATGTACTGCAGGAAGACCACTGATGAGATGATCAGGGCTTTTCACGAAAACCGTAGATGAAAGATATGACGCTGAACGAGCAGTTCCTAAAGTGAGCAGTGGATGTCGTTGAAAATATCATTTCTGTTAGATGTTGGTGTTCCATGTGAAGAAAATTATGAAGAATTCGATACTGTCAATAGAATTGAATTGTCCATCAACTTCGAAATGCACCGATTATGTGATTACACTGCGATAAAAAATGTTTGTGGTGGCACGGGGCATGTGAATGTGTGGCCGCATTTCACGAACATCTGCCCGAGCACGTAGAAACCACACGTGGATATCCAAAAACAGGAAAACACCTCACTTGATACTACCGAAAAAAAAACCACAGTTGGTGAGTTAGAAACTCGTCCAACGATGTGACGACGTTTGACGGATGTGGACAAGACCGCGAGAAAGATGGAAAGAGAGATGAATAGTACTTACTCAAGGATAACGATAACTACGCCGATGACGACGGTTGCTCATCAATGCAAAACCGAGAACTTCACGAAGACTGAAAAACTGTTGAATTTACTGTGAGAGGTAATAGAGGAATACTCTAACAACAAAGCATCTTCACTAATAACCATGTGATGACTTACAAGGAACAAAACAGTGATTGTATAAAAAAAGCTATTTATTAGAGGAGGGAATTTATGTGCTAAGGTTATGAAACGCTTGACTGAATATCTTGGGAGACTCTGAAGAAAATGAAGAGCCGAAATGTCAGTTTCTGTGCATAACTTTTAACAACAACCTCGTTCCTGTTCATCAAAGCCGTGGGCTGAGAAGTAAACATTTTAGATAGTCACTTGAGAGATAGACAGCACTTGCAATAGCACTTAGTTTAAGTTTATTTCAGGTTAATAAATTACTCGACTTTAAAACTTCTAAAAATAAAATTCTTAAAATTTCGATATCTTTTAGAACACCTGGAAATTTGAGGCGTATGAATCAAAAACACTATCGATGAGTCAGCCGTCCTTTCTTGTGTAATGAATATTATTCTTTTTCATGAACAAAGAAGGACTGTAGGATCCCATGGTAACTGCTCAACACGTCTACATTCACTCATGATTTGATCTAAAAGGAAAGATTCTTTCTAATCTTGCAAAACATCGCCAAGAACTAAAAAAGGAGAAGCAAAAGTTCCAGGTACCTAGTCCGAGCATAGGCATTTCGACTCCATTTGCCAGAGTGACAGTCGGAATGGGCGTCACAGATGACGTCGCTTCCGGTTCGTAGTCACAGACTTCGTCGTAGTATCTGTCCGCATTCCAGATTGCTGGAAAATCGTCATTACTATTCGAATTCGCACTCTTTCAATAGTCGGCGCTTTAAATTCACCTTTGCTAAAACTGCAATGGGAAGGAACTGAACGAACCATTCTGAAAAAAAAACAGGTTAAACGAAAGACCGAACAGAGTTCTTCCCAATGGGCGGCAAGTGCTCACAATTTGTGTAATAGACTAGATTTGTGGCAGAAAACAATGAAAATCAGAACTTTTCGAAAACAACATGGAACGGTGAGACAAAAGCAGAACTGGTCTATAACTCGGTGGTGGCTGTAAGCGCATTCGTTTGGCTGTTAGCATAGAAACAAATTGAACGCTTGTGCATTGGAAAGGTTGAAAAGTTGTGGACACTAACAGCTATGTCCAATCGGCTTCATTCATCTTCACCCCGTAAAGGAATTAATTCAGCGTGAAATATGCTCACGAGTGAACATCTAAAACCACCGGCTGTTCATTTACATGTGCAACATACACTGAACAGAATGCAGCACTGCAACAAGCTCTAGGGCAACAGCGTGCTTCTCAAGCTCTTTTTAAGACAACAAAGCGATAGTAAAGCAAACATGAAGTATCGAACTAGTGCTAAAAGTACGAAAGGTGCCCCAAATACTGCCGTAGGAATTGGTTAGATGAATAGTTCACTGAGCCTACCTAATACTAAGCTCATCATTGTTGATTAATTTGTTGTGTTCCTCATGAGCCGAGATAAACGGATTAAACTGACATATGTATTTTATGAGAGCTGAGATTTTGGAGGATTCTGCATCTCAAAGGCTCAGAAAGACTTATGACACTTAATTAAGTCGATGAGATACTATCATTTTACAAAGAAGTCTTAGAAGGGAGTTCCAAACATTTGGTAAAGAGGTTGGTGAAATACGCAAATGGTTTTGATGTTTGACACTGTTGAGAAAGTGAGAGCAGTGGCATGCAGATCACAACACATCCGGATAAATGAGTTCGGTTCTAAAGAATTAAATGAACGTGATACAAAGAAAAGGAAAGGATATTCTACTTTAATCAACAGATCGTCCAAAATAGAAACGTCGAAAAGAAATTAGTCTCGGCAAAAGCGCTGACAGTGCAATCGACGTGGGCGCCTCCTGATAAGTAGGTGGCAGTCGGACGTCGTAGAATCCCTCAATATTCCGCACTTGAAAAGTGCATCATATTAGCACGATTTTCAGAACTGGGAACGAATGACCGACAGTGGGAGTGGGGATTGAGCGCACTGGTCACGACTTCGACTAAAATCGATCAGTTCGGACAATTGCATGGAGTTAACAGTAGGCGGCAGTGCCGTATAACCTCCGGGCGGCAATGTGGGACAACTGGCGAGCGCCGACGCAGGAGCCGACACCGCCCACTTTACGGAAAAAATCTTGCTAGACAAAACCACTTGTGGGCAAGTCTCTAACTAAAGAACTAGGAAAAAGACAACGATGTGACCAATTTTATGAGAACGTACGACGTATGACAATTCCATCGGTGATTCATAAACAATAAGGTCAACGTGGTATGCTGTACTTGGGGAGCGTTATTATTCGGCGAGACAAACATCACTGAAATGAAGACTCGTGATGGAGAGGAACACGCTGTTTCGTGGAAAGCCTGTTAGACATGTTGATAGATAAAGCAGTTAAGGACTACAGCAGAAGATATTTGGTGATGATTAGATAGCGATGGACATCCACGCTTGCAAAATACTGGTGAAAGCGCTCATTCTGGCGCTAGAACTCGAAAGTCGTCTGGGAGTTCTGGCGATGACTGCCGTCCATCACGCCACAGTTTGGATGGAACGCCGTGGACAAGAGGCAACAGTGAAATCGAGAACGTCTGTTGCAGAAACTCGCAAGCAGCGCTTTGCAGAGGAAGACGCGGCGAGGCGTTCCATCGACCTCTGCACGCGCCGTTCACGTGCACCGCACCGAAATCGCGTGCGCGGCACGTGGGCCAGTCGTTCACATTGATGTGTGCAGGCGCCGGACCTTTTTCGTCTACCATTTCATCCTAGCTGACTGGCATCGTTCTCAGGGTATTCGCCCATTTATATGAGCTTTTGAAAAGACTGATCGAAATTACAATTCTCTTCCATAATAGAAATGCCCAAAATTTCACCATGAAAAAAATCCTACTGGATTCAACAATAGATTTGCTTATGCGGAACCGCCAAGGCGGATGAAAATCAATGAAGCCTGGTTTGTTCTTGAAAACACCTGCGAAGGGACCATTGTCGAACAAATGAAAAGCTCTCTATTATGGCAAAGACAAGCAAATAGTAAGGCTGCGTTGTTGACGGAGATGAATAGCAAAATGACGGAGAGCAATGCGTCACGAGGAATGCCACCAAGCCGGGTCACCTGTTCGTCTCCAACCTGCTTCGCATGTGATGTCTACATCGTCTCCCTCTCCCTCCCTTTTTTCTACATCCAAGATTTTTCACTCATCGATTGTATTGAAGAACCAGTAGTAGAAAGCGAGAAACGAGAGAAAAATTGAAAAGAAAGCCGTTTATTTTATTTAGTAATGGCATCTTTTTCCACCGCTCCTGCGGCTTTTTATGAGATGTTTTCAATGCGTACGATGGAATTGGAATGGGAATTTATAAACAGTAAAAAACAAAATACGGTTTAATTCCGTTCACTTCGAAAATTGAAGTACGACAACGAGTGAAGCATATTTAGTAATCAACTTGGATACATAGATTGCCCATCTTCACTGGTTGTGCGGACCCCAGCATTATTTCCATTTCTTTGGAATTTTGCTGGTTAAGTCATTGTAGCTCTCTGAATTTCCGAGGACAGCCTGGCGAAAGTCAGTCCCATTTAGTAAGTAACAGTTTTCTTAAAAAGAAGACGGCACTTCACAGCGAATCGACTGCTGTCATGGGGTACTTTTATGCAGTAAGTAATATTTAATTCGTCGTAGAAACACTCTTTTGCCTAAACGAAAGCAAAAAGTGATTTTTGGAAGAGTCATATATCTCTTCACTATATTTCCACTTTTTTGGAAAGCGGAAAAGAAGGAAGAGAAGACAAAAAGAACTTCAGGGCAGGAAGCGTTTCTGTGCTTTCGGAAGTTATGGCCATCGGCCAATTCCTCATTCGTTGACGCGTTGGCGGCGGGAATTTCGTGTTTCGAAAATCCTGTTTTTCAAAAATCCCTTCTCCCACGGCAGAGACCGCTCGGCCCTCTTCTCATTACTTATCTAATTCACTCTGACTATATCACGTAGCGGACGTTTTGGACATGCACATCCTGCATGGCGGCGTAATTGATCCATATAGACTTCTGGTCTTCATTTTCATTTCAGTGGGCTACGGAACCTTTTTGCTGCAGTGTGTGTATTCATTCAGTAGCTTATTGAAAGCATATAAATGTAGGAGAGGTCGAACCGGAAAAGCTACGCTTTGCACTAAATGATTTACCAAAAAAAAAAGACTTATTTGGAGGAAAGACTCATTGACCAGTAATTTGACTGGAAGTAGAGTATTGCTTCGTTTCAGTCGCTGTGATTAATCACGGTCATTGTATGAAATGACATGGCATAAAAATACCGAAATAAAATCCAGAATTTGCATGTTACACATAGTAACCTGTCACCTGTATCACCTGTAATCCCGTTGATTGTCGAGCGACTCGAGCGGTCGCCAGTAAATCTTCTATTTTTCCCCGTCGGGTGCAAGAGTAGCCCAGTGGGTTCTGCTTGCTCTAGGGACTCGTCGAGCATCATATCTTTCTTCAAGGTGAAGAACTCTGACCATCGAGTTACATAGTAACCAGTGGCATAGGTACCATTCATACCACTATAACTACAGAGTAAAGTCTGTTTTGCGATCCTGTCGTGTCCACAACCTCTGAGATCCGAAAAATATCTCAGCATTATTGTTCATTATCAAAAACAAGGATGTGCACAAATGCTGAAAATAAGGCGTCGTCCTAAGCGGCAGGAGAGCGGGGCGTCCACTAGGTGTTAACTATACAGTACTGAGGGAATCGCCACCGGACTTACGAAAACGAATAAGATCATAAAAATCAATTTTTTTCAAATTATAACATGTAAAAAGCAGCTTTCTTCGGACTATATTAGACATAACACCTATCGTGCGAAACCTATCGATATATTAGGAAACTGTCGCCGAACATATTCATGCAACAAACAAGAGCCGAAATGAAATGAATTATTTATGACTGTGTTAGCTGCGTCTGCAATAAGAGCGATGAGATGTCCACTATATTACTCACAAGCGAATTGTCTTCTTGTCTAGAGTCTCATGGGGAAAGTGTGGCGCAACGGTCGGAGACGCCCTGCAATACACACGGGATCGATAGCCGCGCTCCGGGCCCACCAAACCCTCCACCCTCCGTAGTCGGCAAATTAATACTAGACTTGTCTGGGAAGAAAGCAGCATTGATTCTATACATCGGTAGGTTACATCGAATCATTGTAAAGCTCAGATATCTCCAACGATGCTTGATGAAGTCGAATTCAGGGTACATCCCTCAGGGATTGATCAACCTAGAAAAAATATAAAAAAAATATAAGTGGGAGCAAACACAGATTTAAATAAATGATATTAGACTCCGTTTGGCTTGGTCGATAAGGATCTTTCATCTAAGGCAGTTGCCGATATACTTGAAAAGTGATAATCGGTTTGCAAAAGGACCGGTCAGTGTAGTTTGTGGGGTAGAGTTTTGTAGCCGAATTCCTTCATCCTTTGCAGCGGTAGTTGCGCATCGTGTGATTGGGCGCCGTCATGTAACATTCGTTGATAAATGCTTATTTCAAAAGCTTCAAGAACTGATGTGTTCTGTTGCCATTTTGGTAATTGCGCTTGGAGTTGTTATTACACTATCCATTTGTACACTATGGCTCACATTTTGGCGGATTTTCTCTTCTTCACTCTGGAGAGGTCAAGTTGCTCCCAATCTTGTCACTCATGCACTTTCACAACTTCAACAGGCAAATCCAGCATTCAAATTTCAATCCCACTGCTAAAATTTTCCTTCAAATACTCACCGTTTCATGGATCTTCCGCTTATTGATGGAGACCAGCCGCATAGAGCTTACGTCGGTGGGTAATGTGCGTCCTTCACGTCAAATCAGTCGATAAGGTAAAACGATATTGTGAGAGATAACGCGTGATAGTAAGGCATTCCTTCCTGCTCTTCCTCTTCGCTCGTAGTCGAATGTATAGTCGTCCATACAAAATGCCGTATTTCATAATTTACTCTAACGGAAGAGACGGTACTGCATGAGTTCGGCTACGGTGTAGACGGTGTACCAGATCTCATGTAAAGCGTGCGGGACAAAGGCTTTAACGAAGTGGGTAAATCACTATGCGTTTTTGTAGAAGAACAGTAAGACGATAAGTTTAAAATTAAAGTATATACTCCATTAGGCGCGCCTAGAACACACAGACATAAAGAAGATTTTGAAGCAGAACTCACCATCCTCGCGCAGGAATCTAAAACTTAAGCGCGTAATCGAGGCATTCTGGATAAATTCCAAAAAATCCAAAAATGAATCGCAAGTGGGAATGTCTTATTATCACATATAAGCTTCCAAAATACCTCAGGCTAATCGTTTAAGGGGTGACACATTACGCACCTATGTAAACTCTTTGCGGTTGGTCTCCAGTTTTAAGTGGAAGCACGCAGAGGGAATTAAAGAAGGAATCGCGCGACTTGGCTCGGCAAATAGCCATGTCCAATAGCTACGCCGATGAGATAAGTTTAAAAGGAGAGCGACACCCCAAAACCTAACACTTAGCCAAGAGAAAATCCCGTCTGTGTTGCCCTTTGTTAGCGATGAAATAAGCATAGCCATAAAACGATGCTTAAGAAAGGCAGGCGTAGAGGAATTGGTTGCGATAGTAGAAATGCCACCCGACGCCTATATAACCGTCTGTGTGAAACAGAAAATTTGTAGTTTGCCCTGTTGGCAAGGACGGTGATTGCATGAGTTCAGGTATGATATGCCTGATATCTTGTAGTATATACGGAGACGAATATATCGGCGAAACGGGCAGACCTTTGTGTATCCGCATAAAAGAACACCTAGATGGCAAACGAAAAGCAAGACAGGGCACCCCATTAGGGACGCATAGAATACAAAAGCATAGCGGGGACGATTTTGATGTAAAACTCACTATCCTAGCACAGGATGCCAAAACACCACCACGCAAGCTCCTTGAGGATTTTTGGATAAATGCCAAAAACCCTACAATGAACAGCAGGGAAGAATGCCTCGAGGTCACACGTGATCTCGCCCCGTACCTTCGTATTGATCGTTGATGTGGGGAGCTGCAATCGTCAACCATATGCGACTCTGACCAGCGACTCTTCTTCAGTGGAAGTCACGTAAAATTCGGTGGGTTTCTTCGAGGTGTTGACCATGTGACTGTCATTTAGATTCTCATCTTTCTGTATGTGTTATTGAAGCGTTTGACCTAGTAAGTTGTTCCTTCCCTTTCTTAGTACCCTTCCAGGCTCTGAAGGCGATTCTACCGAAACGTCAGCTACCATTGTGTTGCATGTGTGTTATTGTAAGTAAATGTATGCTGCTTAATAACCTCGCGATTGCTGAGAGAAAAGACGACGAATTTATAATCCAATGCCGAGGTTCATAGAAAGTCGATCCTGGGAACACTAAGTGGAAGACTGACAAAGAGTGCTGTGTGTCCGAAGAAAATGTTTCCAATAAAATTGGAAGTTAGGCGTTTTTAGGTTATGGAAGTATTTGGCTGACTAGATTGCGATCAACTGACCTTTCCAGGCTTTTAAGAATGCAAAACGCCAAAGCGTTAGCTATCGTGTGAGGAAGTTATTGGTCAGTGACGAGGCTAACAGAAAGTCGGACATTAAAATGCTTATGGTAATTGTTGGTTAGGCCAACAATCAAAAAGTCATAGTAGGTGGTAACATATATAGTTCACCAATAAGTCATCGCAACCTTTTTTCCGTTTAT